TGCTATAGGTTCTAGGTGCTACTGTCAAGGGATTTGAGTAATCTTGTCCCGATAAATATTCATAGGGCCCCGACGATATTCGCTGCTGAGGATCGGATGGAATGAACCAGCACAGATAACGCGAAATAAGAAAAAACTTTAGTGCGACGCGAACATATACGAGATGAAGTTGGGAAAGTTGACACAGAATAAACGGGGAAGGCGAGTTTAACCAACTACTATTAACGTAGTGCGTGTATAAGTGACTCATAGAAGAACGGGTTAAAGCAAAGGATAGCTGTGAAATAAGCAGGTGCTCAGGCTTGGCGAATAAGCAGTCACGATCTCGCAACGACATCACTATCAGGGCGCAAGGAACTTAGGTCTGGTAGGCCAATTGCCATGAAGCCCGACAACGGCGCTGTGATACGACGACCGGTAACAGCTACTAAAGAAGTGTGCTTGCCAACGTTCTTTTGTGGTCAGGTTTTTGAGTCAAAGCTTTAGAGAAGATGGCCTCGAAAAAATAATCCGAATGACTTTTGTAAATCCTTCTGCACTCATAATATTCAAGAAACCTCGTGAAAATGTCTAATTCAAATATTATTATTTGGTGTTGAATACTGAAATATGCGAAAGTTCCTCGAGCTGATGCCTTAAATTAAACCGAGCTTATCTTTCATGAGTACCATGTAAATTTTTTCTGTGTGTTTAACATCTAAATTCCTAACCCTGGCTGTCAGGAAATTAACGTCTTAGGGTGAGTTCCTACTTTGTCCTCTGGCACAGTGGTCCTTGTGATTCTTCTTTTAGAAACGGTATGGCGATCGACCTATTGCAACTGCCAAAAATGAATTACTGTAGTGGAAAATAATGAATGACTGGCTATTCTAGGTCACCTTATGAACACATATATTTTCCCCATGCAGCCGTCCAGTACGAAAATGGTATATACTTGTATTCTCTGAGGTAAATCCAGAAACACTGAGATAAATTCCAACACAAGTTAATGACACGGTCTGTAATGTTGTCCTAGTCTTCAACTTTATCAAGAAAACTCTTCGGAGGGTCTTGGAGGATAACAGGATGCCTCGAATTATTTCGAAGCGAAAGCTTGTGCTAAATAAGACTGTCCCTTTCCACAACGGAAAAAGTATGCGACAGATTCGGTTCCATCATAAATTCAGCAGGAGGGTGCTCGGACACGGTAAGGCCTTATCAAGGACCCTGACTACGGCAAAGATATCATCTTGCTCAGAGACTTTAGAGATGAAAAGCCTAGTTTTCATTTCCTGTAAAGTAGGCATAAAAAGATGGCTCGAGGAACCGATCGGTCCATCGATG